AGTATTAAACTTGTATTATTGCACGACAAAACGAATTATCACCCCTTTACCATTACTACTCGATTTTACAGTAATTCTTAGCAAATTTACTGATATTTTAGCATTATATTCAATTGAGCGAGCTTTGACCGAGTCTCAAAACTGTGACGTCATAGCCAATCAAAAATGTTTTGTTATCGTTTGATGTACAGCAAAAAGTTTATCGACGCCAAAATATATTACCATATATATATAGAATGAAAATTGTGGTGAAGTTTCCAATTATCAAGTCATATATTTTTTAATTGAAATAGTGAAAATTTAAAACAAATTAATTGTTAGTAAGTTCCTGCTTTCAAATCAATAATGTATACTCGATAGTTTGAAACAAGGTAATTTTGATATTTCAATAATGTTAGGTTGCTTTATTAGCATATAAATATTGCTTTAATGTTTTCACTTTTCTTTTGCAAAGGATTAAATTTAGAGAATTTTATTCATTTGTGTTACATATTGTGTATATATATTGGGTCAGGTACTCAATAGGTTTTGGTTTTGTTGAAAAATTCACAGATAGGTGAGAACGGTGAATAATGATACCGTGAAAAATCAAAAAATACAACGTTGCTGAATTGTGACTATTTTTACAGAAAAATAATGAGCATCAGATTATAAAACAAGAATGGAATCAGCTTTTCGTGTTCTCACTTGAATTTGTACCAGATATCACTACTAAATATTAAGTTCAATATTATACATATTTATGGATAATATATATATATACCGTAGTTATGAAGCACATCACTGAGAGTCCGTTTATTTTGGGAGTTGAATTCCGATCGAATAACATACATTCCGGCAAAAAATTGTTTACCTTTGTCGCGGAACTGTGAGTTTATAAATGTATATAAAAATATCCTAGCCAAATATGACGTAAACAATTGAAACGCCAACTTGGCATTTATCTTTCCTGGATACTGTATAAAAATCCACAAAGGGCAACAGGACGAGTCAAACCGTTTCTCGAATTTAACATTTCCAACATAAATTCTTATGTATTTCTTTGTCTTCAATAATTTTTCCCTGGCATTTCTCCTGGTAGTGAAATGGGGTAGACACATACGAATTTCTCATAAAAAAATAGCGTTTTATAATGTGTACTTTCTTCAAAAATGATTCGAAATATATTGAAACTATTGAAAAGCTTTCTAAAGAAATCGGTCACTATGACGACGTGTTTGCTTAGGGATGGCGCTTACGACGTCTTAGTGTTTCAAGTCACCGTTCCCATCACAAACACGTTAATAAAACATTGTTCGTTTCGACATCCTTACCAAATTTTTTTTACAGACAATAACTTTTAATAATCTTTTCTCCTTTTTTCGTTGGTTGGGTCGGTATTTTAAGGCTTTGGCGAGCAGGGTTGGGACAATATTGTTCCTTTGTCAGCATAAAAATAAATTTAAAAAAATGGATGGAGAAACATTTAGCCTTCTTTATGAATCGAACGTCTATCAACTCAGGAGGAAAACACGTTTGACCAAGCATATACCGACAATAACTGAAGCCTGCAATGCGCTTTATGAATAATCGGGAATTTGTAGTGTAATATAATTTTAAAATAAGAATAAAAAAAAGACATTGCTACCCCTCAAAACACAGTATTTTTATGGGAAACATTGTCGTTGACATTTTACAACTTTTATTTTAGTGTGAGGTAAAATTCCCCTTCAATGTTTGGTAAATAATAAGCTTCTGCTCGTCAATAGTTTATTGCGAGATCAAAGCTTCCCTAGTCAGGCAATAACTTCTGCGAAAAATACACGACGTAATACAAATACTGCACACAGCAGGTCGTATACATGCTAGGGCATGATATATCACACACCTTGTAATATAAAAAACTATCGGGACTGTAAAAATCGAGTTCTTCCGTTACACAAGACTGGCGCTACAATTTCAATCTGCTACAACAACAGTGGATGGAATCTTATTTCTACAAGACATCTGTCCTGTGTATACGAACAAATGTCAGGCACTCATAGGCAAAATAATAATCTAATAATAACCTTATAGCCAGGTTGGAATTTGCACTGAAAATGACATACAACTTATGATGAAACTAGGTTCGTTCGGGAACAGAATCGAAAAGAAAAAATGCATTATCGGCGAACAAATGAATGAAATCACGTGACATGTGAGAGATCTTGATGGCGCGGGAGGTAACAGCTGCGACCTTTCGTGCAACTTCGGCTTTGCGTTGTTTTGCATACCTTTGAAAACTTGATTTGTACGAGTCGATTGATGAAGAGATATTTGTTTTTTGTACAATTTGCATTTAAAATTTTCAACTGTCAAGTTGATATGACTTGGCCATAGTTTCTATATATTATTTAAGTAGGTTATGTCAGTTGAAAATTCAAGTGCAAGTAGCAAACTTGGCATTACAGAGTAATACAGACTAAAGATTTAGCGTCGAGCTGGGGCCTGGGGACCAACCCATACGCAACGACTCAAATTATTAGGTTGACTGTTATACCTAAGATATATTGGTATTATATATTCATTAGATTAGCTCGGCAAAAAAATAATTGCCTGTATAAATCTTTCTAAAAACTGAAGGTTCGAAACGTCTTACCATACTTCTAAGCCTAAAATGTATACGATATTTTTATCACAACTAAAAATATCAATAGGACGCTCCCAAGAGTCGTTGGTCGTGAATTTTACCTCATCGTTGAGCCGTACATAATGCATAATGATTCTTTGTCCGATTGCCCTGCGGTATTTTATGCTTAAAGAGTCAGTTTTCAGTTTTTAAATAGGGTGTCCGTCTAATTTATATATATCTGCGAAACTGTACATGTGTACCTCATGTGTTATATCTAATTTGTAACAAACATTTGAATATGAAAATCTAACCGACTAAATATTATGCGCTCTACATAAAATATTTATTCAGCAATTTGATTGAAGAATGATACATTGATGTAAATTTTCACGATAACTTAATTATAATCAGAAACAAGGAAATATATCAGCTGTTCAGAAATAAAAATTTTTGTTTCGTGTTACTAATAGAACGCATTGGTGCCGGCGAGATGTATTACAACGAGCTCCCACACAATCGTCATCTATTATAGATTTTTTTACGTCTGGGAAAATTGTTGACCTAATTTTTCACAATGAGAATTTCACAAAATAGGCAGTAATGGATTTCGATCAGGTTTAGACCGTATATTGGCCTAGCGCAATCGGCCCGAATGTTCAGTAATCCATGCTCCACCGATCCTATTATACTTATATATCCAGAATGAACATTGTTTTCTATACCAAGCTTCAACACGATATAAATCAACATTTGTTAAACCACTGGATTTTGTCAAAATGTACATTTTACGTTATTGGGGTTACTACTTACATTTTTTCGTGATTTTGCGTTTGATCCCGTGATCACAATATGCCGATCGAATGGAAAGAGAAAGAATGTCGAGAGTTGTTATCGCTTGCCGGCTCAGCAAATCAGTAGCCACGCCCGAAGCTGCATTTTCGCGCCTTGGCTGCTCAGTCCGGCATTTGGACATTCTAGCTAGTGCGATAAGATTGATTTCTAAACCACATGTCTGTTATCTGCTATTGTTTATGATGAATTTCATATAGTGATACAACGCCTAATTTATGTACAGTATGTTTTACTTGTCGAAATCAGATTAAAAACCGGCATAAAATACGTCAGGACGTGGCTAATTGCTAGTCTGTCAATAGAGAATGTCTGCTAACTGGCCTTGCGGCAAATTGGTATTATAGATAGTGTTTATATTAAGCCAAGTCTGTACCGGTAACTTACAGTTGAATGAATATTAGTTTGACCGTTTATTTCCTGTATGGGGTTGGTCACCTATTTATGATTATGTGATGTGTAATGAAAAGCTCGCGATGAAGTGCGTTATATTTCCTTAAACGTCATCAAATGAAATCAGCTACTTTTCGTGTTGGTTGTTTCACGCCCTGACGAACGATCAAAAGCACTGTCGTCAGGCAGGCCATAGATCTGCTGTTGCTAAAGTTTGTAATGAATAAGATGAATTAATATAAATTTTAAAAAAAGAAAATATTTTGTCAGATTGAAAAAGAGACAATTTATGTCGCAGGAAGAATGATAGAAAAATCACATGCGCATGTCAAAGGTGTTTCCATCAAAATATTTTCATAGCCAAATCACCATTCAGTTAATTTCTTATTTTGTTTGGCGAGGTCGACCTTTTGGTTTATTATAAATAAGAAAGCATAGAAACGGCTCAGAGAAATCCAGTATGAGTCAAATAGAGCCTTTTATTCGCAATAGTGGGCCTAGCATTTGCGCACCCGGTTGTGTATAAGGTTATCAAGGAAACTCTTTCTGTCCTGATTCCCGTGAGTATGAAATTAAGATGCTTGATATCACTTTGTATTTCATTCATGATATCGCTCAACTTTGTATGACTCTTTCTAGAAGCCTGAAGTTATTTATAAATGGAATCCGATATTAATTTTTAAATCCATGGAATTAGGTACGGCTTGTACCATTCAAAGATCGAGTCATGCATGTGCTTTACTTTGATATGGGTGTAACATGAATGCGAATATTAAAATACACAATTTCTTGAAAATGAGAGATTTTTTTTCCATACGCCCATTTAACGACATAGCCGCTTTTGTGATTTTATTGTCAAGGAAATGAATCGCAAAATCCTAAATTAATAATATACTTTGATAATGGCAAGAAATCCTGTATGCCAAACAATCTGGTTTACAATTTAATTTGTAGCTTTATAACACTATATGAAAATGTGAACACTATATCATCATCATCACATCCTCACCTAATCATTCATATTGTATAGAATGTGGTATACTTTGCTCAAAAGATTCCTTAAAGTAAATTAAAAAGTAAATATGTGTTTTACTACATTTCACGCTTCTATCCTCTATCACAGATTGATTTGCTAGTTACTGAATTATCTTCAAGTGTGAAATAAATAATGGGAGAATTTCAGCATGGATTATGCGGATGTTTCGACAACTGCGGAGTTTGCATTATCACCTATTTCATACCTTGTTATACAATGGGTAAAACAGCAGAAGCCGTAGGAGAAGATTGCTGCATATGCGCTCTTGCGTACATGTTTACTGGATGTATTGCTGGTGGAATCGTAAGAGGAAAAGTACGAGCAATGAGGGGTATAGAAGGAAGTGGAATCGGGGACTTTTGCGTTCACTGTTGGTGTCCGCTATGCGCCGTTATTCAAGACCATTTGGAGGTGGTTCCCTCTGGAATGGGAGAAGATATGTCACGTGCATAGTGACCGTATACATGTAAAACTAGGAGCCAATTGTTATCTAACTGCTTAAACTGGTTAGTGCCTGATAACCAAGTGTTCATTTTTTGAAATTGTTCACACGAATTATAGTACTTAATCACGATATTAGTTTTGTAATAAGTCTGAGTTGCACAAATCGTGTAGCAATAAGACTATTGAATTTCCTTGCCTTGAATTAACAATTATAGTATCTATATCAGCTATGTAGATTTAAACTCAAGACAACGATGGTTTTTATTTATACTGCTTTGTAAATTAGATAACCAGGTATAAGAATCGTAACGTTATATGCGAACCACCAACTTAATTATATCATTTTATTGTTAGAGTGGACGTGTTTTGCATGGGATGTAGAGGGATGGCGGAACTTTTCTTTTGTGAGGAATACTCAATACATACCGTCAACTTTGTTTTAAACCAGTGATGCAAACAAGCTCATAAAATACGCTTTTGTGACAAGTCTAATTTGATTTGTTCCAAGATTAGAAACGATCATGCAAAACGCAATATTTTCCACCTCCTCTACTGATTTAAAAAAAATGCAGTTATAAATGAAATCTGCAACAGCACAGAACCCGAAAAGATATTGCAACTTAAGTTGAAGATGAGGTCATTCAATGCTGAAGCGTTTGACAATTGCCCGCATTTTGATTATGCCAGGATACTTTTCTAAATTTGACCTAAGAATGCATGCCATAAACAATGTTATTACTCCCGTACGTATGATATAGTACATACTTATTTCATATTGTTACATTTATAAAACTTATTACGATTGCTATACTTCCATATTATGCATGCATCAATAAAACTCCACTAATGGATAATTCATACTCGTATGTAGTTTGAGCGGCAATTTTAGACGTCCCAAGGGAGTACTTTGAACGTTGCAGAATGGTGAATGTTATTGTGAGGGCATTTACAACCGCATTGGCGGCATGCCCCAAAACGTGCATATTATTATTGATGCTATAATAAGCACATGCCTTTGAAATGAATTCAATTCAGGAATGTTAATTTTCCCACAATAGGATTTTCGTATCATCAGAAACACTGAACGTTTATTTTGGCTGGTTCCACTTCGACATTTTAATTCCCATCAGAATTCAAAGGTATTTTCTATGCCTGTCACGTTCAGCTATAATTATGACCCTACTCCGCCCAACTAACATTGAAAGATCGAAGTTGTAACACTCGCGTCTCCATTGTTATTTTTAATGGCCCTTCACATGGGTGGGCGTACTTCTTGTAAAGTTCTTGTGAAAGTTTTAGAAAATCAGTAGAGAGATGCAATGTCAATGCTGGCCCACAGTTGGATGGCGTCATTAGACTACGTTTCATCCACAGACCATACTAGGTTGTCTATGAATAAACGAATTTATTCCCAAGAGGTAGAGCAGTTTAGTTTCGCGATCTGGGTATCGTCACGATTACGTCAGAGAGTATCACGCGTAAAGATTACAGCGGGAAATTCCACTGAATTTACGCTTGCGTAGGCGGCTCTACATAATTTTTACTTGTTTTTTTAGTTTATATTATGTTTAAAATTGCCTGTAATTTTGGCACACCAGCAAATACGAAACACAATGGTGCAATACGTTAAGTTAATCATGCGTTCGATTGTATGTAGTGATTGTATACAATTGCGTGGAGACTAAAGCCTCCGACGAATAAAAGTGTTTGGTGGGAATTCCTTTACGGCCATTGCATAAAGTTGTTTACCGCATTCAGGCGATATTACAGGTATAAAACGAAGAATTTTTTTACAGCATATCCAAATCAAATAAACATGAATAGACCACTAAAATTTAATACTTTAATGCCAACATTCCCGAATTTTGTTATGTTGTGCTAGAATGTATAAACAGCATTTAAATTTTACTGTGATTTGCCCCATGCACATATGTGCCTTGTTTTGCTTCACAAATACTGCGTTATCGATAACAGCTACTGCATGGAAAAAGTCCGCCAATAAATATATAAGTTCAGAGTATGGAAAATATAATTCACATTGTCACATACAAACATACAGTTGTTATGTGACTTTATTCAGGACAAGTGACAATTGATAATTAAGAAGAAATGAGTATCAATCTACAGTCTTATGGTGCAAAAGGCTACTTTTTATTCAGAAATCGCTTCTTTATATTTTAATATTTACCCAAATCATAAATATCATGAATGAAATAAAAACGCGATATCTAAAGTTCAATATCCAAACATGTACATGTTCCCCCATATTGGTAGGTTGGAAATCGCTCCAATAGGATGTGAAATCATTTTGTCATAGCGTTTGAGAAATTGTTGGTGAAAGCGTGTATGCCAGTACATAGTAAAAACGTTTCTTCTATCACGTCTTCATCAATATTTCAAAATTGTCCAATTCCCTTTCCCTTAAAAATATCATTTAACGAGTGACAAGCGTGAACAAATATAAATCACCCATGTTTCAAACTCGATTGAGCATTTTTATACAAGGATTCACAAAAATTTCCATTACTCTCCATTTTAATGGTCCCAAGCGAAGCGTAAAGTAGGTTGGTATTGTAGAAAAAATAAGATCTAGTTTAAATTTATTCCGTAAAGCCTGCGGCAATACAACAGGCGGTTGTCACGGACTGTTGAATAGCTTAATTTTTTGCTTTGAGTATCTTATTTCTATAAACGCCCACGGCAATTCGCCAGGGCTCGGACATTAGTATCGTCATGTACACTTCGTGCGTGTTTGAACATATTGAATTTGTGCTATAAATTTATCACATTTCCATCTTTCATGCTTTGACATATCGGCAATGGGTTCATAAATCTACAAATTTCGCGAACCTGTTTTCATATATAATCGCTATAGCACTATGCGTAAATTGGCTAAATTGAATGGAATCGTGGCGGAATAAATACATTTGTGTGGTTTTAAGTAGTTTCTCTTATTCACTCCTTGTTGCTATTAAATTTTAATGTAACCACAAGACCCAACATTTTGACTGTTGAATATAACAAGTTTATACTTCGTAAACTCCAATTTTGATCATGTTGTAAAATATGGATTCCGATAAGGTAACGACTCTATTATTAGCTTTCGGTGGAAGTTGGTACCACACGTTATAACACTTCAAATTGTTGCTCACTGGTTCGATGAACAAGCGACATAAGAAAATATAAGGTTGAAACATTGGTACATTACAGTATTATGACTACGATTGCGGTCCACTGTTAGTATCAATCAACCAGTAAATATTTTTCTAAAATTGATGAAGACAGATATGGTTAAGGGTGAACTGATGCATATACTTCACAGTTATAGGGGAATATCGATATTGTTCACGGTTCGCCGATATTGAGATGGATAACATATAAGAAGACGTCTAGAGCTATGCTAATAAGAAAAATGTTAAATATCAAGTCCCTCGGGGTATTACTAGTCGGTAAAATATTTTGGAAAGTACCAATGTGCATCGTTGGCACGCGTAGGGTTTTTCAAATACGCCCTATAATTTCGCTCATTAAAGCTTAGATCAGTGATTCCCAAAGTGGGCGATATCGCCCCCCGGTGGGCGAAAACGATACAGAGGGGGGCGAAAAGGTCGAAGGGGGCGATAGGGGGGCGATTTCGCGAAATCTGTTATTGTTCTGCGTATCGTGCACTCAATTCTGTAGCCTACGCTGTGTGCATTCGCAGACTTGATTCACGTGGTCGATTATCACACGCGAAAGGATTTCTGGACTCGTCTCCGCAGTAAGGTACGGTATCCCAGTGGTCGACAAAATACGGCTTAAGTAAAAAAATATGGCCCGGGACGATTCACTGAATAGACCTATCCCCGACCTTTGACCGCGTAAAATTCTTCCTATATACTTTATCATTTTTAAATTTTCGGTGCTTATTTTTAAGAGTGGTTTCGCGAGTGTTTGCCTGTAAAATAGGGTATTTGTTTCAAACTATCATTCTAATTCATACCATTCAACAATCTGTTTTTTAAAAGTACCGATAAAAAAATTTAGCCTATAGTCTATCACAGCTATTTCTACACCAATTTTTGATTACCGTATTTAAACTGAAACTCATAGGAGGACAAAGTAATCATTGACTTATATGATTTTTATTTAAATTTCCGAAAAACAACTAAAAACTAACGAATTTAATTCAAAAATGAGGAATGTTCACGACTACGCCTGAAAGTCTGTCTGAGAGGATGCGAAAGGGGGCATTGTTACGTTTATTTTTGCATCTTGCTGATTGGCCAATGTCACGATGTAAGCAAGGAAGTCTATGCCCGGGGAAACATCCAAACGGCGGTTTTGACGATGAATTTATTTTATTTATAATCTACGCTCGAGGAGTAAATTACATTTTTTTACGTAACAGAATTTATCGTGAGACACTTTTAGACTAAATTTTATTATATCCTAAAAATTCTATTAAACAGCTAGCTACTCGTTTAACGAGCCTACAATTTAATTATAATTAGACAAATGGAAACACGAGGAAAAAAAGTTGATGCTGAGGGCAGGGGTTCAATAGCGCAGTAAGTACTCGAATATATTGCAATGCAATAAGGAATTAAAATTCATATTCTATTCGAGAGATTCATCACTGCGTAATTTTGTAAGAAAGTATCTTCCTAAAAAAATCTTAATCAAAATTTCACAAACCATGCGAGAATATTCACTTAGATGTTTGGAAGTACATATTTTTGTGCAAACAATTTTTTTCGAAAATGGAGACATTACAAAGAACAAGCGAAGAACTGGGATTAGTGATGCCCATTTAGAAAATGTTCCAATCTTGGCGTCGTAAAGCTATCAAGCGTGATGCATCAACATGACAGTGTCACATTAAATGTCATTGTAATATTTTTTAATAAGACGACTGAGTTGAGTTCACGAATTGTCTCAGTTTTCGCGCGTTGTTCCGTTTTTAACTTTTAAAAAATATATGCGAAAATTAACTTTGCTTTCATTAATTTAATGTGAAATTTGGTGAA